AAGACAAGAATATATAGTAAGTTCGGGTACAGTTGGTAGTCTGGGTTGATTAGTGAGTTTCTTAATTTTAAAGTGAAACTTCGTTTACCAATGTATGGAAGACAAGAATATATAGTAAGTTCGGGTACGGTTGGTAGTCTGGGTTGATTAGTGAGTTTCTTAATTTTAAAGTGAAACTTCGTTTACCAATGTATGGAAGACAAGAATATATAGTAAGTTCGGGTACGGTTGGTAGTCTGGGTTGATTAGTGAGTTTCTTAATTATAAAGTGAAACTTCGTTTACCAATGTATGGAAGACAAGAATATATAGTAAGTTCGGGTACGGTTGGTAGTCTGGGTTGATTAGTGAGTTTCTTAATTATAAAAGTATTAGTAATTTTTTAATTAAATGTTGTGGGTAGCCGTTACGTTTTAAAGTAGCCTGTATGAGAGAAATTAAAGTACGTAGAACACAAGTTATAAACTCTGTTTCATAAGCATGTTACCTAATATCTTTTGTACGGGAACGAGATAAAGTCGATCAATTGTGTAAGGAGTCCAGTATACTTCCTTTTATGTATGTTAATATACCAAATTCAATGTGTTGCAGTTAATGAGGATGTTAGAAAAAGGCAAATTATCATTATCTTCAACCTCGAAGTGAACTTAATGATATTCAGGTATTCTAAGAATTTAGAGCAGTGATCCTTATTGTGAAAAATAATAAAAGTGTCGTCTACATACCTTCTGTAAATTATAGACCATTTCTGTTCATGATACGAAACAAATATATTAGCTAACGTTGAACCCCATCGCTAGGCCATCTATTTGTTCAAATAGCGTGTTCTTGAATAGGAAATGTGAATATGATATTTTCGTTTTTAGTTCTCTGAGGTATCTTTGGATTTTTTGCTCACGTTGGATGGCAAGCTTTAGATGCCGAAGATAGAATCTGTTGAATTCCGAAACGTTTATCTGTATCCCTTTATGTTATAAATAAATAATGCTGTTTATATTAAGTGTCGTTATCTTTTTTATTGTGAAACTTCGTTTTCCTCCGAACACATCAATCGACTTACTAATTATTTACGCATCTCTTTTAAAAGAAAAATCATCTTTATTGGCAACAACTATTTATTTATTATTTCTTTACTACAGCAAATAAACTTCCTGCTTGAAACTAACTTTGTTAGTTTTCTTCAGTGAGAAACAACAGTAACAACATCGAAAAATACTGTACATATATTTTGGTAGTAAAATAAGTTAGTGCAAAATATGAAAAAATATCTATGAGTTCTGAGAAGGTATACATCTTATTTTTAGTTGAACACCAGAACACAAAGCTTTAGAACAAGTATAATGCAGAATTTTTAGAAACAATTTGTTAAACTTTAAGTTTTCTTTAAAAGAAAATAAAGTGTCGTTTGTTAGGAGAATTTATTTAAGTATTAAGTAGTTAATTGGCAGTCGTGCGAATACAAATGTCCATGATGTAAAAGATATTATAATTTTTATCAAACTGGCCTAACTTGCTTGCATACCAATGTTGCAAATAAATCTCTAAATTTTACTTTCTAATTTATGTAAAGAGTTTTGATAATTTTTGATACAACTATAAATGGAACAAACTTATTTATTAAAATTATACTGATAGAATTTCTTTTAAGAAAACTCAAAAATCTAAATTACTTTTTATCTTCGTTACTTCTTGATAAATATAAAACTTAGTTATGATTATTTGAAGGCGCACATGTTTGAATAAACCTGTAGATTATTTTTTCGTTTGTGCAGCAAAAGCAATTTTATTCTGTTCCAGCCCAATCACTACTTTTGGTAAATTGGATTAGTTGTTCATGTTTTCAAGTCACTATATAATCAAGCAACTTTTATATAAGTTGTTACAAAAAGATATATCTATTGTTTGTGTACTCAGACAACTAGCTAAACAAATAAATGGAAACACTGGAAACCAGAAAGACAATACACGCATAAAGATCATAATATTTACAGAAGAAAACATAATACAACAGCAAGGAATTAGTGATGGAGTCAAAACCAAGATCTTATTGTGATGATAAACTATATTTATATGAAAATACGCCCATATAACACAATGAAAGAATATATGAAATACATTAACCAAATTTTCGAACGTGAATGTATACAATAAATTAATTACATTCTAAGAATTAATTTTATAAAATAATTTATTTGGTCTCTCTAGTTAAGCCCAGCTCTGACTTTGTTCTGAACTTTCTAGTCCACAGGAAACGAAACGATTTGTTCGATTCAGAAACAGGTAAGATCAGTTTTCTTCAGATAAGGATTTATCGAGACATAGTTAACTGAAAAGTTTAAATACAAAGTTAAACGACTTCTAATTTTGTGTTTTCAGACTCAAACTCATTCATGCAATATTTCCATTTACTAGACATCTGCCAATTTACGAAGAAAAACTGTTAAAGAAAGAAAAAGATCACAGTGAGTTATGTTAAAACGCAAGAGATTTCTAAAGAGACAAATATGAAGCCTAATCCGTCATTCGATTTACCACTTGTCACTGGTTTCTGGAATTTCACCTCTCATCAGTAATCCTAGACAATCGCAAATGGAAAGAATAAGATCTAGTGGCGGAAAGTACATTATATGTATAGTATTTTAAAGTGTCTTTTATTCACATAGTGATCCTATATATATATACATATATATAGGAATTTTAGGGATTTCAATGCTGCTTATTTTTGAAAGTTATAGATAAATATAGGATTACTTTGTGAGTAAACGACACTTCAAAACACTATACAGGAAGTGTCTGTTTGACGGAGTACCCTAAGGTGGTGCTCGATCATATTTCATCACTTTCAATGGTTGTTTGGGGTAAATACAGCCGTCTAAGGTTTTATTCTAAAGGAAAAGCCTCTTCATTTTCTTTCGTTATAACGTGTGCAGACAATGTTGGAACAAACGTATTTCCATTAGAAACAGGTGTGTGGAATAAACTTTCTACTACTTGCTAGTCAAGCGTTCAACACATAAAGTAAAATGTAAGTAGTTCTTAAGTTATCTACAGCTTACATTATTAACTTCATTAGAAACGTTTTGTAATAACCAGGAGTAGGTTTGATGCATATATATATATAACTGAAATCAAACGTTCTGTAGTAATCAGGTGTAGGTTTGATGCATATATATATATAACTGAAATCAAACGTTCTGTAGTTATCAGGTGTAGGTTTGATGCATATATATATAACTGAAACCTTCTATCCTTTATGAACAGTTGTTGCAAAATTGAGACACTCTGAAGCCCCTGTAAAATAATACATGAAATGAAATAACGCTTATAATGTACGAATAATAAATATGAAACCTTTAATTTCTAGAAAAATAATTACTCAAATATTATACTATTGTATCCTTTCACAGATCAGGTATAAATTTATTAATTCAGAAGTAATTTGTTATATCAGGTTAATATACCCCCAGTGTAATAGCGGTAATTCTAAGAAGTTGCAACGCTAATATTATGGGTGAACACATCAGATAGCCCAACGTGGTGTTGCTCTAACACAAACAACAACTATACCGTATTAGGCTAAAACCATATTATTAATAATGAATACTGTAATAATATGTTATGTTCTAAATAAATTGTGTAAAAGTTAGGATTTTTGCGTAAGTTATCATAGCATCCACC